CTGGGCAACCGGCAATTGGCCCTTTAGTTCCAAGAACCATTATGAAAATTGAGAAACTTTTCCTTTTAGAAGAACAATAAGGATAATTTATTTGCAAAACTTAATGCATCGTAATTACATGAAGAAAAAAAATTTATTCATTTCATACTTTACATTTTACAATGTTGTATTGTGTAAATTTTCACGTTAATCGCAATTAAAAAATTTATTTACATTCCACTCTCAAGTGCCACTATAAAAAATTATGAATAAAATTTTAATTGAATATTTTTTTTAATTTTAAGTATTTTAATAGCATTTTTTTTCTTTTTTTTTAAAATTCAATCAGCTTTGTTTAATTCAACTCTCTATCGGTTTTTATATCATGTAAAACTATTTTAAGTATTCTTTTTTTTTTATACTGTGATTCTCTTTTTATACTGTGAAGTTTGAAAGCATCGTAATTTTCAAATTTCATTTGTCCATCACCATTTACATATCGACAGCTGTCAAGAATTAATTGACGAGGTTGGTACTTCATCCCCCCCCCTCTCTCTCTCTCTCTCTCTTATCAACTTTGTGCCTGAACGATGAATGTTTTTTAAATTTTGCAAAATTTTTTCTTAAAATTGCATATATAGAAAAAAAAAGGAATCTAAATTAAAAAATTTTTTTCGATAAACAATACACCGTCCGACAAAATTCAACATTTTTTTTGACCCACAAAAAAATCCAACATTTTTGGAAACTAGGACCCTAAAAAAAAAATACCCGTGTCTGATCGTTTTGCTAGATCAAGTTATTTGTGGTTTTTTGGGGTGAAAACACAGGGTGTCTATACTAGTCCTGGAAGTCCTGGAAATGTCCTGGAATGTCCTTGAAAGTCCTGGAATTTTAATTTTTGTCCTTGAATTTTTTATATTTTTCTTTTAAATTTTCAAAAATTTCTAATTTTGTCAATTAAGTAAAAAAAAATTCATTAAATAAGTAAAATGAAAATTTACTTAAGTAATTAATTAATTTTTTAATAATTTCTAAAAACAATAGTTAAACTAAAAATTTTTTTATTCCTTAAAGTCATCCAATTTAATGTCCTAGAAAAATAAGAAATTTGTCCTGGAAAGTCCTGGAAAAGTCCTGGAATTTTAATTCAGATTTTTAGTAGACACCCTGTAAAACAACCCCTAAATAAAAAGTGACAAGATATCTTTTAAAAATTATTAATATTTTATAAAACCTCGGTATCTGAGGGTTTTCGGTGTCGCTGATTATTAATCTGATGTCAGATTTTCAAAATTCAAAATGGCGGATTCAATATGGCGGTCAAAATTTTAAAAAGTTATAAAATTTTTTTTAAACCTTGATATCTAGGGATTTTTTTGGGTCGCTGATGACGAATCTAATGTTAAATTGTCAAAATTAAAAATGGCGGATATAAAATAAAAAATTAATTACTTTTAAAATTTTTTTTGACCGCCATATTGGATCCGCCATTTTGAATTTTGAAAATCTGACATCAGATTAATAATCAGTGACCCCGAAAACCCCCAGATACCAAGTTTTATAAAATATTAATAATTTTTAAAAGATATCTTGTCATTTTTCATTTAGGGGTTGTTTTCACCCCTAAAAACCACAAACGACTTGATCTAGCAAAAAGGGCCAGATACGGGTATTTTTTTTTTTTTGGCTCCTAGTTTCCGAAAATTTTAAATTTTTTTGTGGGTCAAAAATTGTGTCGAACGGTGATATACATAATTAAAAATAAACAGTAAAATATTAAAAGAGAAAAAATTTGTTTTGAAGAGAATTCAAGTATATATTGAAAGAATTTTTTTTTACCCTATATGGAAACAATTCAGTGAGTGTTTTTAAATCAATGAGAAAAGTCCTTTTGTGTATCTGTTGTGTATATAAAGCGCAAAGAAGAGAGAGGGAGAGAGAGAAGATTGAAAAAAACTAGAGTCGTTAACCTGAATACCACGTTTACACGAGGGGAACATGAGACTCTCATAGAATTTGTACCGTTCGAGTTTGTCAATAGCCATATCTTGAAACCGATCGGATCCTGAACTTATCTTCCCATTCTGCTTTGTAGACTGAAAAACTTTTTCTTTTCCCTCTTAGCTTTTCTCCATATATATATTTTTTTTTTACTTTCCATGAATTTACCACGGGTCATCATTGACCATATCAAATATATTAAAAATGAATTTTTTTATATTTATTTATATGAAATTTTGTTTATTTTTTGTTTTTTCTATATATATATATGTTTTTTTTATAATAGCCTTTACATTAACAAAATGCCAATCGATGTAATTTTATATCCTCATGACCTGGTTCGAAATAAAATGTCAACTGCGGTAAAAAATAGAAGGTAGAATTGAGATGATAATTAAATTAATTATTATACTTTCACAGTAGATGATATACAGTAAGATTATTTGACTATGAATCACCCCCAATATAGTGTTAAAGTTTATGAAGACTTTAGTATATTTTACTTCAGAAATATGCAACCCGGTTTACAGAGAAGTTTGAAAAAAACATTGAACAGGAGTCATTTTTAAATTTGCCGCTTGAAATTGGATGCGCGCGATGATTTAAGTCATCACGTGATAGCAGAAAAGGCAAGTTGGAAACCATTTTGGTTATACGAAATCAAAACATAACCCCAAATAATCATCGTATTTGACATTATTAATAAAAAACAAATAGAAATAAGAAATAAATAGTCATTAAAAGATTATAATAATGATAAAAAAGTTAAAATAAAAATTTAGTGAAAAAGTGTTTGGCAATTTTATCTACATAGTGTGATGTGGAAGAGAAATATTATGTGTCTGATGAAACAATGTTTGTCGGAATTATTTATTGAAAAAAAATTTTTTAATTGAAAAATGGATAAACTCTAAAGAATTTGATTAAAAATTAGTATAAAGTGAACAGTGTCACAAGGTATTCTACAAGAAATTTTGACCTAATTCACAATAAATTATTTATTTATTCGAAAACAACGAAAAAAATACGGTTAGAAACTACACAACTGAAATTATGAATTAATCATTTACTTGCTGATTTGAAAGAATACAATCGGACTCTATTTTATGATAAATAAATAAATAAATAATTCCGACAAACATTGTTTCAGACACATAATATTTCTCTTCCACATCACACTATGTAGATAAAATTGCCAAACACTTTTTCACTAAATTTTTATTTTAACTTTTTTATCATTATTATAATCTTTTAATGACTATTTTTTTTATTTCTATTTGTTTTTTATTAATAATGTCAAATACGATGATTATTTGGGGTTATGTTTTGATTTCGTATAACCAAAATGGTTTCCAACTTGCCTTTTCTGCTATCACGTGATGACTTAAATCATCGCGCGCATCCAATTTCAAGCGGCAAATTTAAAAATGACTCCTGTTCAATGTTTTTTTCAAACTTCTCTGTAAACCGGGTTGCATATTTCTAAAGTAAAATATACTAAAGTCTTCATAAACTTTAACACTATATTGGGGGTGATTCATAGTCAAATAACCTTACTGTATACCTATCGAGTAATAGCAGCTGATAATCACGATATTCTACTTTCTATTTGCGTCAGATTTTTTTTTTTTTTTAAATAAAACTATTTTACAACACAGGTACAATTAAGTTCTATTGAAAAATACAAGAAGGTCAAAAAGTGATCTTTTTGATTAATTTATAAATATATAAAAATTTGATATTTAAAGATGAAAGATATTTTTGGAAAAAATGTGACAATTAAAACGGAAATAAAAATGTCATGAGGGCAAAAAAAGATAAAAAAGAAAAACAGAATTAAATTGGCAGATATATAATTAGTTTTCGATTCTCTTTCTTTTCTTTCAGCCCGTAGGAAAAATCGGAAAGAAGCAAAAATTCTTCGACGTCCTTGTCACGAATCGAGGACATTGCAGATGCCGAAGGGGATTTTCAGAAATTGGACGGATTTAGGCTCGATATTCACATTCAGGTTGGAAAACGACTCACTAATCTAGTTTCACTGCGAAATGGAAAAAAATGTTGTGAGTAAAAAGAAAAATTTTCGATATTAGTTACATTGTAGAAATATATATATATATATATTTCATAGAATATATTTCTTTGAAATAAGAATTAATATTCAACCCCAACTAGCACGTAATATTAATGTAATGTTACTGTAATATTACATGCTACTTGGAACTTATATTTTAGTTTTATAAAAAAAAAAAAAGAAAAAATAATACAATAATTGAAAAGTTTCCAATTTATATACATACTTTATGTTTATATATATATTATCGAATTTCTCCCAAACCAAATAAGAAGAAATTGGAATGTTTACACACTGCATATATGTACCGAACTGTACAAATACAGAAACTGAAGTAGCCAGTTAATCTCGCCAGTTTCTTCCTATATATAAGACTTGAGGACGAATCATTATTGATTAATATTGTAAACTAATTTTCTTAAAAAAGAATTTTTCTTTTCTATTCTAACTTTTTTTTAGTTATAAAAAAAAAGAAACATAAGAAAATTTGTTTACAATTCAAAATACAAAGACATTTCAATATATATAGAAACAGAATGTAGCAAACAGTTGCAGGATATTGCTGTTTGCTTGACTGGTTCTATGTTTTAAGCAAATATGAGCAAAAGAGTAATGAGCAACTGTTTCGCTTTAGCTGACCAGTAACCAAACGGAGTTGAAAAATATCATTGTTTTCAGGAAAAGTTGGAAAATAATGTATCGTTAAAGTTTAACGGTATTTTATTATCTCTAAAATTTATTTTTCATTTCCATGTATAAAAATGCGAATGTAAAAACAATGGTCAAAAATTAATTCATAATTTTGATATAGGTGGGGAAAAAAAAAAAAAAGTTTTTTTTGAAAACGAGTTAAACTTAATATTGTGATACGACTTTACCGCATCATCGTTATATATAGAGAAAGAGAAAGCATAAAATATACAAATGGCAATGGCGAGACACGTTATATTTGATCCCGTTGAGGATGCACTGGTGTCGAGGCCGGCTGTTTCTGTAAACAGCGTATTTTCTGATTCACTAGCGCAAACATAACGCGATGCGCATATTTAGAATTCAGTATGGCGCGCACACAGTGCATACTAGGATGCATCGAATTACATCGCATATGCTGAGTTCAAACAGCACTTTGGAGAAGATGGATTCTCCTCTGTGACTTTGTAGTGTTGTCCGCAGCATCTTTTACGTATATACATATATAGTACTTTTGTAGATGAAAAAGACGCGACCTTATTTATCCGCCGTGAGGGTGGTGAAGTATATATATATATATATATATACATATATACTGAAACGAGGTGCGATGCGTGGAATTTCAAATGAGTCCTGCCCAACACCCCTCTCAATGTAGATGCACAAGATCTTGATATATACACGTCCAAGTGTAAATATATAACACCATATACATTTTTTTTTTTTTTTTTTTTTTTTTGCCCAAGTGGACGTATAAGCAACTTGATTCAAAGTAGCTTCTCATCTGGCTTTCAACACCTCCCGATAATTTCGCATCTTCGTATATAAGAGAGACATTTTTTTTCTATTTTAAGCTTCAAAGGCGATTTTCTTTCTGAATTTTTGATTCAAAATCATTAAATTTAAAAAAAAAAACTCAGCGCCAAAATAAAAGCCAGAAAAAATCAAATTCTGACGCACAAAAAAGTTTTGTAATTATATTATTATAAGAACTTGAAAATTAAATGAAATTTAAAAATATTGTTTATTTATAATATGTGTAAATGTTTATGTAAAAATTTTTTTATCGTTTATGTAATATAGAGGTAGATATGTATATGCAATACAGAAAATTCGTGGAAAAAGATGTTCAGAGATTGTGCCCTTAAGCGAGACATATTTAGGTCACCACTAAAATCTCTTTCCTCGCGTCCGCATTTGGACCCCCTTCTAAACCCACTCGTTTCACTCACAGTCTCTTTCTATATATCCATGTACATATATATATATACATACAGGATGCGCTTCTTCTCTTTTCCATTTCCGTTTCGTCCGAAACGTCATCCACATGGCCTACAACGATGATTCAGTCTCTCATATACCTAGATTCTAGGGTATTAGCTTTAAAAACTGATCACCTCGTTATATGTGTCTGATAACAGACAAAAAAAAACTATTTCCCTTTTTTGAAATATTTTTTATTTTCTACTATAAAAATATATTTTTATTTTTTATATTATATTTTCTAATATAGAAATATATTTTTATTTTTTATATTATATTTTCTAATATTAAAATATATATTTTTATTTTATATAAAAGGAAAAATAGTTAAGAGAACAATTTATTTGGTATTTTTGTTATTAACCAAATATATTCAGAGAGAGAGAGAGAGAGAGAGAGAGAGAAGGAGAATATTAGCAATTGAGCTGCTAATTGTTAAATCGACGATCAACTGAGAATGACCTACCTTATTAATGTCCTCTCGGCCTTATCAGCAAAATCAGCTAACGACGTTGCGACGAATCGACTAGCAGTCTGTAATGCGATAAAATCTGCCAACTAAGCAAACCAACCAGAGCCAAGTGGTTGGAAAGCATTGAGAGAATATAAAAATGCAACGTTTCAAAGAATTTAACCCCACGATTGATCTTTTAATTAGAAGATCTTTTAAAAGCATTTTCATTTTTATTTATACACTTATTAGTAGACTAATCAACCTCCTTCTATATTTAATTCTTTTCTGTTTCGCAAAAAAAAAAAAATGACACTTTTCCAATATTTTTCACTGGACTGAAAAAATTATTTAATTTATAATCACTTATTTGATTATTATCTAAAAAATATTTATTTGTATTAAATAATTATTTATCTGCATTAAATACAGCGAAACAATTTTTTTGAAAAATGTAAATATAAAAAATTACCGACATAGAAATCTACCTTGCCGACTGATGGTAAATAAATTCCTAGAATTTCTCTTAAAAAATTACCATTAGTCAGTAAGGTAGATTTCTATATCGGAGATTTTTATATTTTAATTTTAAAAACGGTTCACCATCAGTCGGCAAGGTAGATTTCTATGTCGGTAATTTTTATATTTTAATTTTAAAAACGGTTTTACCATCAGTTGGAAAGGTAGATTTCTATGTCAATAATTTTTATATTTTAATTTTAAAAAACGATTTACCATCAGTCGGCAAGGTAGATTTCTATGTCGGGAATTTTTATATTTTAATTTTAAAAAACGTTTTACCATCAGTCGGCAAGGTAGATTTCTATGTAGGTAATTTTTATATTTTAATTTTTAAAAAACGGTTTTACTATCAATCGGCAAGGTTGATTTCTATGTCGGTAATTTTTATATTTTAATTTTAAAAAGGTTTTACCATCAGTCGGCTAGGTAGATTTCTATGTCGGTAATTTTTATATTTTAATTTTTAAAAAACGGTTTTAATATCAATCGGCAATGTTAATTTCTATGTCGGTAATTTTTATATTTTAATTTTAAAAAAACGAGTTTACTATCAATCGGTAAGGTAGATTTCTATGTCGATAATTTTTATATTTTTAATTTTAAAGTAAGTAAGTAAGTAATTTAGATTTCTAGGTTGGTAATTTTTTTTTATTTTTATTTTTTTAAAATTGCTGTAACATTTCTAAGACAATTTTCCTTGCATTTCTTCTTGAATCAGAGTTTATTACGTTTTAGATTGTTTTTTATTTTTCTTTTCTTTTTTTTTTGTTTTTTTGTAAAACAACTTGAAACTTGAAATGAAATTGAAGGTTTTGGTCAATCGGTATAGCTTCACCACAAGCAAAGTTCTCATTGAACGTGAATCCATTGGGGATTAATTTAAGAGAGATATAAATCATTGAGATATCACTGCAGGTAGAACGAAAACATTTATCTTTGACCTCGCTCGGTTCCTGCTTTCCAGCTAACCGAAAGTGGATTGCTGAATACCTACAGTCAACCTCACGATGAGACTTAATCATTCTTTGTCTTCTTCATGAGACAAAAAAAATCAAATTACCCTCCATTCGAGTTATTATATTGTGATTTTCGTTTTATTAATTAAAACAATGCAGATGAATTTGAAAATAGAATCACATTTAAAGAAATTGCTTATAAATAGAGAGTGATCTCATTTATCATTTGTTTTTTTAACAAGTTTTTATTTTTTTTTTTTGTGTTTTTATTGAATTATAGAGATATATATATATATATATATACATATATAAATATTATATATAGTGAACTTTATCAAATCCATTGTCTGTCTTCTTCAGTTGCAAGCACATCACCAATGAGTGTGCGAATTCACAGAATATATCGATTTATTCATTTTGCTGACCGATTGCAGACAATTGAATTAATTCGCATGACTAACAGACCATTGACGTAACTTTAATTCAGAAGAGATGGTTTTTTTTTCTGTAAACCAAATCTATTGCTATTTATAGAAAATATCGTTACAAAAAATTATTTTTTCGAAATATATTTCATTAGAATCATCTTATTGGATATTAAAAAAAAAATATTTTAAATTTTGTAATTTTAGCCCCTGGATCGTAGAAGGGCAGGTAAATTTATTTCAAAACGGAGTCCCCTGGATGTAGCAAATAAAGCGACGTTCAGAGGCCTCCCCACTCCATGCGAAATAATTTTACGATCCAGCAGCTCATTTGAAAAATTGTACTTATTCTCATTGCAGTGAATATCTTCGGAAGTGCTCGATTCTTTTAATTTGCAAACGAAAATGTTTTTCAAACTTTTCTTTTTTTATTAAAATTTTTATCCCGGGAGTGTTTGAAATTTTTATAATTTGCGTAAAAAAGTATTTCTTGATATTTTAACCCGTTTACGAGAGTGGTGGAAATTTTTTTAAAAATCGCGTGTGTTTTCAACAGATCTTCTCATCTAAAATAATACATCGTTTGTGGACAATAAGGTCAGAGATATATTTTATTATTAAATTATATTTCTAATTATTTTTCTACTATTTTTATTTGTAATGCGCATCTTCATTTTATTATTTTCATCTCATATTTTTTATTACTTTATAAAATTTTTTTTTTATAAACAAAAATATATTTTTCAACTTTAAATATAATTGAAAATAATAATAATGAAATATATGAAATTGAGCAAAATATTTGTTCATGCGTGAAATTTAATTTTTATTTTTGGTTCAATAATTCTATAAATGTTTTTAACTTCTGATAGTAGTGTTTATTAGTTTTGCCCACCATGTATCATCATCAATTATATTATGACCTTCATGAGGTATATGGAATCATTAGCATGCATCTATTATCAACATTTGTTCAATTTCGTCAGTCCTAACTTTTACCTGAAAACACCTTTTTGACCTTTATTATTTATATACCCCTAAATTCTGCGATTTTATTTTTTTCAATATTGACTTTAATTAAAATATCCAGTATTAATTTCGAAAATTTAATTTTTCAAAAAAAGTGGTTTGACTTTATTGTAATATAAATTGAAATTACTTGTCTATAAACGTTTCAGAAATACGCGATAAAAATCCCATGGGTATCAATGTACACTTATAAAAAGAACTCGAGAATCGAATTTTCGTAAACTCTTATCCAGTTTCAAACACAATGGTTTTTTTTTTGTTTTTAGTTCCTTTACGCTCTGAATATTTATTTATATACATTGAAAATAGTACACTGGAAAAAAATTTATTTGATTCAAATAATTGGAGTATTATCAAATAAATATTTATTTGTATCAAATAATTATTATAGTATTTGTTGCAAATACAGAAATTATTGGTTCAATTACAATTATTTGGTAAATATTTATTTGATAATATTCAACTATTTCGATCAAATAAATTTTTTTATAGTACAAAAAATTTTTTCTTCAGAAAATGTTCAATTTTTAATTAAAATTATTTTTCTACTTTATCCGCAATTTTTTTTTTTAAGGGATTGAAAAATATACGAATTATAATGAATTTTTATTTTCGTATACACAGATTACAAGATATATTTTCCCTTTTACATTAA